GTACGTAGTACGTAGACGTAGTAACGTAACGTAACGTAAGTAACGTAACGTAAGTAACGTAAGTAACGTAGTAGAGTAGAGAGAGAGTAGAGAGAGAGAGAGAGAGAGAGAGAGAGAGAGAGAGAGAGAGAGAGAGAGAGAGAGCAAATACTTGAGCTGGGACTAGAACTGGCGACATCGCAAGTTGCAGCATTGACGTTCACACCACACTTGGAGGGCAATTGTGCAGCTTGGGTCATGTCGATGCCTGACATTCCGGACTTCAGCATTGAGCAAAGGCATTGGGGATCTGAGTTTATGATGGACTTGAGGGGTTCACAGCAAGTGCTTGGAGGAGTTGTGGTGGAGTTGAGGTAGCTAAGGCAAGGCAGGAGCTGGTTCAAGCATGAAGTGCTTTGGGCCGCTGCCATCTGTGTCATGGCAGCCATGCTTATCAAGCTCATTGAAACCCAAATGCTGGCCATCTTCTCTCTTCTTTCAATTATGCTTCCTCCTCCTTTGGTGCTTGTGTTACTTATGGTTTGGAGGTTAAATAGGGTGTTTGCTTGCTAGAGAGAGAGGTTTTTGAGTTTTTTTGGGTCTAGTAGGTTTTGGGGTTGGCGGTTTAGTTATAGTTGGTGATCTAATCTGGGGTTGAGAGATTTGACTTGTTTTATATAGTGGCGGTTTGGTGAAGTAAGACCGACCGTTCATTGTCTTTATATGGAGCAATCGTTACGGTATCTCTTGCTTCCATTTGTTTACACCTTTTAAGAAACTACGGAATATGTGGGAAATATGACCTAGTCCCCTTCTTTATAATCCTTGGTTTACTGCCGTTTGTATAGAGCCGAGGCTCTAAATAGAGTGCACATTCAAATAGTATCGAGAAATGTGGTTTCAATATTGGAAATCTTTGTGGTAGCCTTAAAATATATTTTTATTTTTAATTATAAAATTAAAGCTTAAAAAATAGCGTAGATCAAGTAGATCTATAAAAGCTTGAAAATTTTAAAAATTAACGGTCTAAAAATGCATTACAAGATATACTATATCCAAAACATGAAATCCATTCTTTTCTAATATCCACGTATCTTGATGTTGAGATTATCTATCAGAGGATATTTGGGCATCAAAACAATATCTTATAGTGAAAATTTTGTGGTGCGCTTTAATTTGATTGTTTAGAGCCTCGGCTCTATATAAACTTGTTCCTACTTAAACCCTCAGGTTTGCATTAGATTCTACCGATGCTCCTTATTTCTCAAAATGGGACTAAGGGTGGCAATGGGCGGGGACGGTGCCCAGCCCTAACGGCAGGGTCGTGCCAAAAAATGAAGAAATAATAAGAGAAAAAATAGGGCCGGGCTGCTCAAACTGGGTCGGTTGTGGGGCTAACTTGGCCTCATGCTACAAAATGTGGCTTATGCCCTACTTTTTTATAGCTGCCCCACCCATTGCCAGCCCTACATGGGACAATTGCCACCTTCTTCACTCCTTGTGCGTTCAAATTATTGAAAATTTTTGTTTTTTGTTTTAATGTCAATATAATTTTCATTGAGAATATGAAAAAGTACAGAGTTACAATGAAAATGAAAAAGCTAAAGTGAAAAGAATCAGCGCAAAAGGAGAGCCTGCATAGGGCCACCAAAGAGGAGGATCAACTAGCCGTCCGCGTTGCCTCCCTTACTACAGCGTCAGCTTCTTATGGCACTACTCTCTTGGCTACATGTCGATCAACGGTGCCTAGGGCCATGGAAAAATACCCCGTTTGCACCATTTAGGAAAATTAATGGAGTCTCCTTTCACTACCAAATAACTGCTCTGTGGTGAGTTTAATGACCCCTTCCACTACCAGATGATTGTGCTTTATGGTGAAACTTTTTGTTCTAAATAATGCCTAGAATCGTTCAAATTCCAACGATAACTCAAACCCTATTATATCTCACCCATTCCCCAAATCCTAAGAAAATGCGCTGAGAAATTCCACCAGAAATTCATAACTAGGGCAGGCAAATCATGAGAGATCATGGCCTTTTGCAAGGAGAATGAAGTGGAGCGAATTCCAGCGGGAAAAGAAGTGGTAATTTATGAGGTTCTCTCGAAATCTTATTGTTGATTTCATCCAAATTCAAGAGAGTTCCCTCTTTCGAATACGACAAAAGTTTCGACAGTCTCCAAGTTCACTGGGCCCTAACTTTCTTTCCGACGGTTTCATTAGGTGAATCTCAATGCAACGGAAACATTAAATCCCAAGGACCGGATAGGGATATGCATACATTTTCTAATTCGATTTTCCTCTCATGGTTGAATCCGATTTGCTTCACGCACGGCTCCTTCAGGTTTAGTTTGATGCATGTAACCTTAGCTCGACTTTTCATAAGAAGAACTAAAAGTATATTATACATATTGGCAAATCTCGAGCCTTTGATGAAAGTAACGCGAGCTCTTGAATCACCAGTATATGTTTCCTTATGCTAAGGTATCAGGTTTTATAAGGGACTCAGGGTCACTGTGTGACCAACTATTTTTTGCACAATGTAATTGGGAACATGGATCATCCTAAACACCTCTCTATAAAATGTCAAACATGTTGTATGAGTCACACACCACAATGTAAATGATAGACAATAATAAGATTTATGTTGCATTTAAACTATGCAGGTCTTAATTCGGTCAAGAGTGTATATCCTGTTGTAACCAATACACCCTGGTTCGACTGTATATCCTGTTATAACCAATACACCCTGGTTCGACTGTATATCCTGTTATAACCAATACACCCTGGTTACATCCAAGCGATGAACCTAAACATCTTCACCTATGCCTGACTATCATATAGGCTACATGATCTAGTGAGAGGCCATACAAATCATATCAACTCTCAACCATGGAATCTCATCTTGATCTTTTTATCAAGGCTATACTCACACAACCCGTGTCTGTTATTCTCCAATGTCCCAAATATTGAGGGTGCACAAGGAAGTAGACTAAGCATAGAGATGATTTATCTCACAATGAACATACATCCTAGTGCGCTAGTATGAATGTACAATCCATTCACGTGTATGTGCATCGAACAAACCATATATCGTAAACCTTTCAATAAATGGTAAAAGTCAATAAAAGAAATTCATCTATAGAAGAGTTAGTCAATGATGGTACATAAACTAATTAGGGACTCCTAGGTCCCAATCCCTTGACATAAGCACTACACTACTCTCAAGCTAGAGGCTTAATCATGGGATTTGTTGCTATCCCACTAGTGAGATTATTTATCGTGACTATCTCTTTCCTCTCAATGATACCTTGCACATATGTAGTGAAACTCGATCTCTGTGTGTTATATCTCACTATAATATACTGGATCCTTTGTGAAAATTAGTACCACCGTAATCACAAAACATGCTCACATGCTCTCCAGCGTATGATCCCCAAGCCTTGCAATATCTACCGAGCCACATGCCCTCATGCAATGTTGCACATCAATCCATATACCCCGGTTCCATATTGGACATGCCATTTATGTCTATGTCTCATTGCACCAAGAAATTGTTCCCACTCCTCGAGTAAAGACATTTCATGATGTCAACCTTCAATAATCAGGTCGCTCCATCTAATCAGACTTACTCTAACCTCATATTTAAATATTATTTTTCAAAAAGATCTATGAGTAGTCTATGGTTCTCTAGAATATCAGAGCATCATGTTTATAATCTACCAATGTTTGGACTTGGATTGCTCTATTAGCAACTCAACAAGTCCTACGGTACATCTTGTCATATTCACAACGTGATACATATATATATATATATATATATATATATATCAGTAATTCAAAAAGCAGACCGTCCAGCTTCTAGGCGGTCCAAAAGGCCTGGGCACGTCGCCTAGGCCTAAGCGGCTAATCTGGGCGGTCGACCCTGAGCGGCCGCCTAGGTGGTACGGAATCTGCCTAGGCGGGCGTCCAGCGCCCAACGTCTGCGCCCCACCCAAGGGCAGAAATAAGTTTCAGTGGAGGCAATTTTGGTCATTGTTTTTGTATTAAAGAGGCAACAATTAGTGGTTTAGGTTCATTTGAAACCTAAAACTTATTGGAGCTAATTTTAGAGAGAGAAAGCCCCCAAAAAATTAGTTTTTAGTGAATTTTTTAGGATCAAAGGGTTTCTCAAAGTAAACAAAAACTGATCAAAACATCACCCATTAAACTTAGATTTACTTTTTGATGTTTTGCAAAGTCTTTAGGAAGTTGTTTAGAAGATTTTGAGTATTAAGAAGCATATTTGAGGTGGAAGTTTGAAGATTGAGCAATCAAACTCAAAGTAAGTGATTTTTTTTATTGCTTTCGTAAATTGGATATTTTTTAGATGCCTTCTTCGGGATCTAATAGGAGTGGTGATCTCAGTTGGAAATTTGGCTATAACCCAGATCCTAATGATAAAAATTACATAAGATACAAGTTTTGTGATAAGGATACAAAATGTGGCATAAATTGGTTCAAGAAACATCTTGCCAGTATTAAGGGGTATATTTTCCTAAGTAAAAAGACTACTGATGCTGTTAAAGAGGAAATCAACAATTTTTTGAACATGGTAAAAATGAAAAAAGATGAAAGATTTGCCTTTATCGCGGAGAGTAGGGGTCTGGGGTTCACGTCAATTATGATGATCATGATAGTGATGAGGAAATGATTGCGAAGGGATGTCAAGAGGTTGAACAATCCATTATTAAGGGGAAGGGGAATGAAATTGTAATTGCTTTTGGTTTTGGGACTAAGAAGCCTGGGGTTAGAGGTCCTATGGATAGTTTTTTACCTTGGCATAACTCTGAGGTTGCAGAGGTGAAAACAAAAAAGCAAACCACCATTGAAAATAGAATCAAGAAGGAAGAGAGAGATAGAGCTGCGTATTATCTTGCTACATAGTTTTATGAGGCATGCATTCTTTTCAATACCGCTCGCTTAAGCAGCTGCTATGTTGCATAGATGCAATTGGCCAATTTGGCCCTGAGATGAAACCACCCCCAATCCCATATGAGCTTTTAGAGCTTTTTTTAAAAAAGGCAATGAGTGTAACGACGGAAGCTGTAGAACTTAAGAATGATGCATGGGCTCAGTATAGGGTTTCTATTATGACTGATGCTTGGAGTGATAGGAAGAGAAGAAGTCAGATGAATTTGTTTGTGAAATGTCCTGTAGGGACTATTTTTTTGAGGTCAATTGATGCATTTGATTATATCCATGATGCCCATTACATATTTCAAGTGATAGAGAAGGGAATCAAAGAGATTGGGGAGCATCTTGTTGTACAGGTTGTCATAGACAATGCTGCTCCTAATGTTGCTATATCTAATTTGTTGCGCATAGCTTATTCTATAATCTTTTGGATACCATGTGCAACATATTGTATAAACCTCATGCTTGAGGCTTTTGGCGGTTTAATCGATATATCAGGTGCAGTAAATAAGGCCAAGTTAGTTATAAATTTTATTTATAGCCACTATCTCACCCTCAGCATGATGTATACCTTTACAAAAAAAAAAGAGATTGTGAGGCATGGGGTCAT